TTCATGAATTGGAAAGGTTCAATTGAGATTGCTCATAACTTTTAGTCGTTACCAATTCAATTCATCTTCTCGTTATTTTTCTAAAAAATGCATCAAACTAGCATTCATAATTAAATGTTGATACTTGGAAATGATGCAGTCTAGCTGATTTGCATGAAAACTACAGATATACAGCCTTAAAACCATCCCAACTTTTATCGTGTACAAAAATCAGGATACATATTATCGCTGATTGATACCAACATGGAACATCTAAGCAACCTGTTAATTTTACCATTGATTCAGCATAGGACTCTAAGGCCGCTGGCATAGTGGAAGCGAAGAGGCGCGCTTAGCGTTATATACAAAAGAATTCCTATTGTTGATATTATTCCTTACATTCGATTTCGCGTGCCTCTTCGGTCTCAATATTTAAGCAGCCGAAACAAAATACCTAAAATCCCAGTGAACCAGAACGTCAAAATCGAACACATGGTAGATTCAATCTGTGTGGTTGTGTTCCATTTGGTGAATTTTAACTTAAATTAGACAGATAGGAAATTTTTAAATAATCCTGCTATTATATCAGACCAGGAATCAATTTGACAAATACCTTCTCGAAAATCACACGATTTTCGAACGTTATAATTTATTTTCGAAACATCAAATTTTAGTAAAATAAATTATAATAGTTGAAGATGCTAATTTCAAATAACAGACTAGAGTGGTAATTTTTATACGATAGATGAGGAGATGTAAGTATAGAGTTGATAGTTCCGTTAGAATACGGCAGTGTGAAATTGTTTATATAAAGAGTAGAAAGCGAGCAAGGACAACTTTTATGAATGAAAGTACAAATCGGTTTGATCATCTCTATTTACCAAACTCCCCCGTTGGAGAGGGATGGTGAGGGGCAGACTGATGCAAAATTTGAAATTTTTGCTCCACAGTGCTTAAACGGTTCCAAATTGGGTCCTGCTTAGCCTCCCAAAATTTGAACTACTTTAGTTAGAAACTGACTTGGCACAAACCATTTCATGTTTATATGGGAATTACTATGGGAAAACATATGTTTTTGTTCATATCTATCTAACAATTCACCACATCACTATGCTTTTGAAAATGATAGCAGTGATTGTAGCAAAATTTTTCAGCTACAACTTTGTTCAAACCCACTTTTCAATCAAATGTAAGGAACAAAAGTTATTAATGATTCAAGTCACTGATTTCTTATGATTATGCTCAATCAACTGTTCAGCAGGCAACATTGATGTTTCTGGTGCGAAGAATAGAGCACAAATATCATGGCTACTATGTCACACTGCAGAATGCAGTGTTGCCCACAGAACAGCTGCTTGATCATGCCATAAGATTCGCAATCTCTTAAGCAATTAATATCATTTTAATTTGACATTTGGCTAAAAAACGATATTCCGCAAAGTTGTAGCTTAGAAAATTTCCCGTAGGAATAGTTATAGCAATTTTCGAAAAACCAATATGGAAAATGGGTAGAAGACAATGAACAAAAAGCTTGGTTTTCTCCCATAGTAATTTCCATATAAACTTCGAATAGTTTGTGCCAAGTCAGTTTCTTACCAAATGAGTTTAAATTTTGAGAGGCTAATCAGGACCTGATTTGAAACCGTTTGAGCACTGTGGGGACGTAAATTTCAAATTTTGCATCAGTCTACTGAGGGGTATTCCCCCCACTATACTGTTCGAAAATCCCTCTGTTGTTGTCCGATTTTCGAGAAATTGTTTGCCAAAATTATTCCTGGTTTGTGTGAAATAAGTCTGGTAGAATAGCAGCTTTAACTTAAAATGTTCCATCTGTCAAATATAAGTTAAAATTCACCAAATAAACCACAGCCTAAATGTAGGGGGGTTGACGGCTGTAGTATACTCCTAGTCCCACCATCGAATGGCATTTGCCAGATAAGATGAGGTTGCGACATATTTAAATAAATAAGCTCTGCAAACAACGCTCTTTGAAAACAATTTTATGAATATGTTACTGGGAAAAAAATGCAAGGTTTAAAAAGGAGGACATTTTCGGGCAAAAGGAGGATGTAGAAAAATTATTGAAAAAGGAGGACATGTCCTCCTTTAAGATACCATATGGTAACCCTACCTTGAACTAGCTAGAGTTACGGCTAGGAGTGCTGATAGGTATTCAGATTCAAGCTTTTATTGCTTATTTAGCTGCCCATATGATGTATTCTAGGATGGCTCAAATTCAAACCATCTCTGCAAGTAAATCCTAGGCTGGTGAAGAGGCTCTACATTTATCAGTTGACATCGGTTGTTCCAATTACTGATACTACTACTGATACTGACCATACAAGATCGTTACCTCCCAACCCTAGATCCACTAGTTTCAACACAATGTCGAACATTAATTAAGGGAGATTGTACATCGCCGACCGTAGGTTCATCTCCCGCTCTCAATTTAGGTCGTCAGAAACCGATGTTAGGGAATCTCGATAGGCTTGACAAAGTCAGAGTCTGATCTCCGCTCCAAACGGGTATAGGATCCAAATATTTTACGAATTGACCATGTTCAGTGTTAAGTGTTTGCTTAGGCCTTTAATAGAGCTGACGCGTTCCAGTCCAACTGAATTGATCGAGTAAAGAAAGATTTGCTGCGAATGTGTTCTACTGTAGCTTATAACCTTGCAGCGTTCATCTTCATTCCATTGGAAGACACCATTTCGATACAATTTCGAGGCCTCATTGTAGAGCAGCATTTTATTTAATTAAAAGACTTTTTGCTTATGTTCTGTATTGTTTTGTTCCTTTCCTTTCAAAATACGATAGAGTTCAGATCGGTTGTAAGACAAATGCTCAGATTACAAAAAATCGAAAGGACAAAAGGTCGATAAAGTAATATAATGAGTAAAGCAATCAAATTAATTTGAGCAATCCAACTAAAATTCTCAAAACTGATTTTTCTCTCTGGGTAATGGATAACCCCTTATAATTCAGGAAATTATACTGATCACACACTGCTAATACATACTTAAGAACTTGGGTTACCTTTTGTAAAATGCATGCATCTTCCTTTATTAAAGGGTGTCTCACATCACGATCCCTTTCAAACTTTCAGGTAATACAATATAACCCATTAGTAAGTTTTTGGCATATTTATTTCATTAAACTTCAATACCATAACCGTACGGTCGCACCTTACGCTTAACTCCACTCATTAGGTTCTGTACGACATCTGGCTGCAGCTTCTTCTGTACGGAAACCCATTCTTTCTTTATGTCTTTCTCAGATTTGACCTTCTTGGGATGCTTCCGTAGTGCCTGCTTCATAATAGCCCAGTATTTTTCGGTGGACCTTATTTCCGGTGCGTTGGGGGGCGGGGGGGGGGGGTTTGGCTTCGTACCACTCCAGGACAACATTTGAATAGTGGCACGACGCTAGATTCGGCCAGAAGATCGTAGGGCCCTCGTGTTGCTTCAACTGAGGAAGCAGACGCTTCTGTAGACACTCCTTGAGGTATATCTCCCCGTTTACAGTCCCGGTAGTCACGAACGGCGCACTCGGATTGCCACATGAACAGATCGCTTGCCAAATCATGTATTTGTCAAACTTGTGCTGGGCGGTGAAGAACAGTAGCCCCGGAGGCTGCCGGAAGTCCGCCTTGACGTAAGTCTCATCATCCATGATGAGACAATGAGGCTTCGTCAGCATCTGGGTGTACAGTTTCCGGGCCCGTGACTTTCCCACCGTATTTTGCCGTACGTCACGATTTGAAGCCTTCTGCATTTTGGCCACATCCCTGACCGAAGCATTAGGATTACGCTTAAACGCTTTCACGACACGCTTGTGATCCTGATCACTATTAGAACATCCATTCTGACCGCATTTATCCTTCCGTTCGATACTCAGAGTTTCGTAGTAACGTTTAATCACACGACTCACCGTTGACTGCACGATTCCGAGTTGTTTTCCGATGTCCCGAAGAGAGAGTTGAGGATTTTCCAGGTGCTTGCGCAAAATCAATTCGCCACGTTGCTTTTCGGGTGACGCCATTTTTTCCCAATTTTCGAAAAACTGACAGCGATAAAAATACAGTGTAAACAATACACTTTAAACTACTTCTACCCAAGTTTTCAAGAGAAAATAACCAATGGGTAATGTTCTACAGCGTTTTTTCCGTGATGCAATTTGATGTGGGATACCCTTTATAGTGCTCCTTACCTTATGCAATCAAGAACCCTTCGAAGTTTTCATCCAGATCACCAATATGTATAGCTCTGACTATGTAGATCAATAGCTTTATAAAGAAAGTTATGAATTGGGATGTTAGTAGAATACTCATCCAATACAATGTTGAATCTGAGAATATTTCTACATTCAATTTCGAGGCAATTTTGCCGTTTCCGTTGTTCTCGAAAAAGTCATCGACGGCCTGACTATTGCTTCAGTAATTGAAGTTGGCCACTGTCAACGTCTTAATCGGTATGTCATGCATATTACATGTTGTGCGCACCTCCGAGCACTATGGACACATCTTGCGACGTACTCTACCAGAACCTCAAACGACGTTGATACGAAACGTCAGTGAAGGATCGAGCGGAAACTAACCAGCTGTGCGGGTGTGTGAGAATGGTCAGAATACGTATGAAACAGGAGAAGAACGATAATTAATTGAATGTAAACAAAGGCATTGGAGCAAAAGTGTAGTTGCATCGTTGCATTAAAGTGAAATTTAGTGAATATTAGCATATTAGGAGTTTAAATACTTATTCCAAAGCGGAACTTAGTGGGAATTTTTATAAAGTACAATCGGATTCAGTCTGTTGGAAAACTTCCCAGAAAAAACGTAACCTGTAAGAGAAAGAAGCGGATTAGATAAACCATAAATGTAAGTTGAAATGAATATTGTTAAAATTATTGATAGCTAACGCAAATATACTTAGTTTTAAGCTGTTCACAACACAAAAGTGAAGTGCTGCTGTGGAAATTCGGTTTTCATTAGGCTGGTCCGAACAATTTCTTAAAAATTTATGATGGTTCGACCAAACCCTAACCCTGATCCGGAACGGTCAGGATATAGTTGTGCGGGATGCCAACGTCCAGATTGTGCTGAGGAAGAAATGGTATTTTGTGACAATTGCCAAAAGTGGTACCATTTCGGTTGTGCTGGCGTTACCGAGGAGGTAAGAGACGTTTCTTGGAGCTGTCCGGAGTGCAAGATTGTTGACGTGGGTGATGCTGGTTCATCTGAGCTGCAAGAGGAGTTGAAAAAGCTCGAAGAGGAGAAGAAGAGGCAGAAGCAGGAACTGGAAAGGGAGAAGATTTTGTACCGCAAGCGACTGGAGATGCAGCAAGAGATGTTCGAGATGCGCCAGCAGCTGGAAAAGGAAAAGCGGGAAATGGAACTGGAGTTTGAAAAGACGCAAATGAAGAAGAAACTTGTCGAAGAAGAAGCCCATCAGAAGAAGCTCGACGAGATGCGGACGGAAATGGAGGAGAAGCTGGAACAGTTGAAGATGAAGCGGAACAAGAACACTGATGGTAAAAAGGTACAGGAAGAAGAAGAAGAAGAAGCTGAAAGTAGTGAAAAGAGAAGCTCGAAGAAGAAAAAGCAGAAGAAAACGAAGTCGGGGGAAGTAAAGCCAGAAAAATCGAAGCTCGAGAAGAAAAAGTCGGGAAAAGAAAAACCTGGGAACGTGGATCCGCCGGCAGTAAATGCTGCTGACATTCGAGGAGCGTACCGTAAACACTCGACACCAAAAGTAGCCAAAAAACCTGCAAAGAAGTCAGTTGAACGTCCAATAAGTCTGCCGGAGAGTTTCCTGATCGGTCGAGACAAGAACGATACACCCTTTGGACACCCAGAGGTCCCGAAGAAGAAGAAGGATAAGAATAACAGCGGTAAGCTGATGAACCAAGTGAAGGGAGTATTGGAGTCAGATAGTAGTGAGAGTTCCGAAGAAGAAGAAAGTTCGGAGGTGGAAGAAAAGAGCTCCGAGGCGGAGGAAGAAAGTTCCGAAGAGGATAGTTCTGAAAGTGAGGAAGAGAGCTCGGAGAGTTCCGAGGAAGATCATAATCAGAGAGATTATCGGCGTAGAGTGCGACATCGTCATCAAAAACCAACGAAGGCCCAGCTATCCTCTCGCCATTTCCTATCCAGGAAGTTGCCGACTTTTTCTGGAAAGCTGGAGGAATGGCCCATGTTCATAAGTAGTTACGAGACGTCAACAAAAGCGTGCGGGTTCTCAAACGTCGAAAACTTAGCGCGTCTTCAAGAATGCCTGAAAGGAGAGGCACTGGAGGCGGTGAGAAGCAGACTTCTATTACCCAAAGCAGTCCCGAAGATTATCGAAACCCTGCGGATGCTGTTTGGCCGTCCGGAGGGACTGCTCAATATGTTGCTGATAAAAATCCGCAATGCAGCGCCACCGAAAGCAGAACGGTTAGCGAGTTTTATCAGCTTCGGGGTAGTAGTTCAACAGCTTGCTGATCATCTTGAAGCTACAGGTTTAACCGCTCATCTGGTGAACCCGATGCTCATCCAAGAGTTGACAGATAAGCTGCCGGCGGGAACTCAGATGGAATGGGTGCGGTATCGCAGGAAGAGTGCAATCGTTACGATACGAACTTTGTCCGACTTCCTGTCTAACATTGTCAAGGATGCAAGCGAAGTCACGTCATTCGGAGAAGCTGCCCGGTTTGTGGAGCAACGGCCGTCGAAAGGGAAATCGAAGCGGGAACATGAAGGATATTTGCACGCTCATAGTGGGGTAGAGAGGAGTCAAAGTCCGCCAGTGAAGGAAAGGAAACCGTGTAGGATTTGTGAAAGAGTCGACCATAGAATTAGGAATTGTGAAAGATTTCGCAAACTCCGACTTGCCGACCGTTGGGAAGCTGTACGAAAGTGGAATCTGTGCCAGTTGTGTTTGAACGAGCATGGAAACCTTCGATGCAAGTTAAACTTTCGTTGCAACGTCAGTGGTTGTAATGATCGTCACAACCCACTACTCCATCCAGTGGGTTCGGTTGCTGGTTCAAACTGCAACATCCACGCCATCCTACCGAAACCCTCCGTCATCTTCCGCATGATGCCAGTTACGCTGTATTGTGGAAAGTTCTCTGTGAACACGATCGCCTTTCTGGACGAAGGATCGTCGTATACGCTGGTAGAGAAACCGCTGATCAGCAAATTGGGAGTACGAGGAGTGACCCAACCACTTCGTGTGACTTGGACTGCGGGAGTCTCCCGGATCGAGAAAAACTCGCAGAGAGTAGATCTGTTTATCTCCGCACTAGGATCAGCTCAGCGTTTTCAGATCAAGAGTGCGCACACGGTGGAGAGTTTGAAGCTGCCGCAGCATACTCTGTCTCTGACAGAGATAGTAAAGCAATATAATCATCTACATGGTGTACCGGTTACAGACTTCCAGCAAGCCACTCCGCAGATTCTCATCGGGCTGAAGGATATCCACCTGTACGCGCCGATCGAGTCAAGGATAGGAGGACCGGAGGAACCAATAGCAGTCAGATCTAAGCTTGGTTGGACCGTCTACGGACCAACGGGTCTCGAGAAAACGGATGGTGGAATGGTAGGACATCATAGGTGCAGTACTTTGTCGAATCAGGAGCTCCACGACCTCCTCAGGAACAACTACACTTTGGAGGAATCAGGGATTTCCGTCGCGTTGCTGCCTGAATCCGAGGAAGTCAGACGAGCGAAGGAGATTTTGGAGAAGACGACTGTGAGGGTAGGTGATCGCTTCGAGACGGGTTTACTATGGAAGGAGGATGATCCGCACTTTCCCGACAGCTACCCTATGGCAGTGAAACGTTTGCAGTGTATGGAAAGACGTATGCAAAATGACTCCAATCTGTACAACAAGGTTCGCAGTATGATTGGCGATTATCTAGCAAAGGGGTACGCACACATAGCTACGCCGTCAGAGTTGGCTGCGTTCGACTACAGCAAGGTGTGGTACGTGCCTCTGAACATCGTGTACAACCCGAGGAAGCAGAAGTATCGTCTGGTGTGGGACGCTAGGGCAGAAGTTAAAGGCGTTTCATTGAACTCCAAGCTGCTGAAAGGTCCGGATATGCTTACCGCACTTCCCGCGGTGATCTGCAGATTCCGTGAAAGAGTGATCGGATTTGGCGCAGATATCAAGGAGATGTATCACCAGATGAAAATGCGTGAAGTGGATAAGCGGGTACTGAGATTCCTGTTCCGAGATAATCCTTCGATGGCACCGGTGGTGTATGTGATGGACGTAGCGACATTCGGCTCAACCTGCTCGCCATCTTCAGCACAATATGTCAAGAATCTGAACGCGAAGGAGTATGCTAGGCAGTTTCCAGAAGCAGCGGAGAAAATCGTCAAGAACCACTACGTGGACGACTACTTCGACAGCGCGAACACCGTTGACGAAGCTGTGAAAGTGGCGAAAGAGGTTCGGTATGTTCATTCCAAGGGTGGCTTTGAGCTGCGTAATTGGGTGTCCAACTCAGAGATGTTCCTTCAAGCCATGGGCGAGCGGAAAGCAAATCAGTGCGTGAGGTTCAACGAAGACAAGGAATCAGGTTCCGAACGAGTGCTGGGAATTGTTTGGAGTCCAGCAAGCGACGAGTTCTCGTTTTCCACTAAGCTGAGAGACGACCTCGCTCCATACTTGTCAGGCGAGCTGCTACCGACGAAGAGAATAGTTATGAGCTGCGTGATGAGTTTTTTCGACCCGTTAGGACTGCTATCCATCTTCACCTTTTACGGGAAACTGTTGATCCAGGATTTGTGGCGGAGTGGATGCGAATGGGATCAGCAAATCGACCAAGAGTGTGCAGAGAAGTGGAGCCAGTGGATTACAAGGCTCCCAGAGGTTGAAGAAGTTCGAGTTCCTCGTTATTATTTCCAAGGTGGGTGCATCGGCCGCATAGACTTTAGCAGCATACAACTCCACGTCTTCGTCGATGCAAGTGAAAACGCATTCGGCGCTGCAGCGTACCTCCGCATAGAGACGGCTAACGGTCCACTGTGTTCACTTGTGATGGCAAGATCGAAAGTGGCGCCACTGAAGCATCTATCGATTCCTCGTCTGGAGCTTCAAGCGGCAGTGCTGGGAGCTAGACTCGCAAATTCCGTCGTCGAGATACTGTCCTTGCAGATTAAGCAGCGATTCATCTGGAGCGATTCGAAGACCGTGCTATCATGGATCCAATCGGACCATCGTCGGTACAAGCAGTTCGTTGCGTTTCGGATTGGTGAAATTCTCAACCTTACGAAGCTCGAAGAATGGCGATGGGTTCCGACAAGGTGCAACGTAGCTGATGCAATGACGAAGTGGGAGAAAAAGCACAGTCTGTGTTCCGATGGGCCATGGTTCCGTGCTCCACACTTTCTCTACCGGTCGGAGGAGCAATGGCCGGAGCAACATAGCGTCACGCCGAACGTTTCCGAGGAGATTCGAGCATGCCTTCTTTTCCACGACGTTACGGTGACAGAGCCAATGGTAGACCCACAGCGGTTTTCAAGATGGAAGGTACTAGTTCGGACAGTAGCATGCGCTTACAGATTCGTATCGAATTGCAGAAGGAAGCGAGATGGTTTAAGGATCGAGGCAGTATCGACAACCGAGAATGCGAAGAAGGTAATTAAGAGAAGTTTGCCAGCAACGAAAGTACCGTTGCAACGAGAAGAGTATCGGAAGGCGGAAGTGTACCTTTGGAGATCGGCACAAGCGGACTGTTTCATGGACGAAGTCAAGGTGCTAATGAAGAACCGGCAACTTCCATACGAGGAGTGGCATCAATTGGAGAAGAGTAGCTATCTCCACAACCTGAGTCCGTTCTTGGACGAGCAAGAAGTGCTGCGAATGGAAGGAAGAGTGGCGAGAGGTTCGTCTCTGCCATTCGAGCTCAGGTTCCCGATCATTCTTCCGAAGAAACATCCGGTGACTAACAAGCTGCTCGAGTACTATCATCAACAGGTTGGTCACGGCAACATGGAAACCGCCGTTAACGAAATCCGGCAACGCTTTCACATCCAGAACCTGCGAGCGGAGATGAAGCGGATCGTGAGGACCTGCGTGTGGTGTAAGGTGAGGAAGTGCCAACCGAAGAACCCCAGAATGGCTCCACTGCCGAAGTCGCGTGTTACGCCGAACTTGCCGCCGTTCAGCCACACCGGAGTAGACTACTGTGGACCATTTATAGTTACCGTCGGTCGCAGGTCCGAGAAAAGGTATGTCTGCTTGTTCACCTGTATGTCAACAAGAGCCGTCCACCTTGAGGTTGCTCACAGCCTGACAACTCAAGCGTGTCTGATGGCCATACGGCGCTTCGTATGCCGTAAAGGAAAACCGCTGGAATTCTACTCCGATAATGGGACGAACTTCCAAGCAGCCAGCAAGGAGATCATGAAAAGGATCGAATCCGAATGCGAAGACGCGTTCACCGATTCCAGAACCCGCTGGAACTTCAACCCGCCCAGCGCACCTCACATGGGTGGGGTTTGGGAGAGGCTAGTACGCTCTCTCAAGGCAGCGTTGAACGTGCTCAACGATGGACGAACGTTGACCGACGAAGTGCTGCTGACCACTCTTGCGGAGGCCGAAGATCTGATCAATTCGCGCCCTCTGACGTACGTGTCCCTGGAGCCGGGAGTGGATGAAGCTTTGACGCCAAACCATTTTGTCCGAGGCGTTGGAGCAATACGAACGGAACATTCCGTTCAACCAACGAACGAGGCTGACGCTCTCCGAGACCGTTACAAGCGGTCGCAATTGCTGGCAGATAAATTGTGGACTCGGTGGATTTCCGAGTATTTGCCGTCGATCAACCAGCGCACGAAGTGGCACTCAGAGTCGGTGCCATTAGAACGTGGTGACCTAGTGTATATCGCGGACGACACCACACGGAAGAACTGGATCCGTGGCATCGTAGTCGAAACCTACCAAGGAGCGGATGGTAGAATCAGGCAGGCTGTAGTAAAGACCGCTAAAGGTGAGTTCAGGCGCCCAGTGGCGAAGCTGGCGGTGCTTGAGGTTCAGGACCGTAAATCTGGAGTGGAAGGAACCCCGCCAGAATTACGGGGAGGGGGTATGTGCGCACCTCCGAGCACTATGGACACATCTTGCGACGTACTCTACCAGAACCTCAAACGACGTTGATACGAAACGTCAGTGAAGGATCGAGCGGAAACTAACCAGCTGTGCGGGTGTGTGAGAATGGTCAGAATACGTATGAAACAGGAGAAGAACGATAATTAATTGAATGTAAACAAAGGCATTGGAGCAAAAGTGTAGTTGCATCGTTGCATTAAAGTGAAATTTAGTGAATATTAGCATATTAGGAGTTTAAATACTTATTCCAAAGCGGAACTTAGTGGGAATTTTTATAAAGTACAATCGGATTCAGTCTGTTGGAAAACTTCCCAGAAAAAACGTAACCTGTAAGAGAAAGAAGCGGATTAGATAAACCATAAATGTAAGTTGAAATGAATATTGTTAAAATTATTGATAGCTAACGCAAATATACTTAGTTTTAAGCTGTTCACAACACAAAAGTGAAGTGCTGCTGTGGAAATTCGGTTTTCATTAGGCTGGTCCGAACAAATGTAATCCTGGTATCTAAAGCTTGAGTCATTTGATATCTGGACGCACTATTTATTTTACTGCAGTGCTCCTAGCGGTCGGATCTGGAATGTTCTAGCAGCAGTTTGTTTTGAAATATTTCTTCTTTCAGTGCTGAAAAGTTCGTTATGATTCATTCTGTTTAAAAGAAGTGTTCGTGCAAGCAACGATTACCGCCTTTACCCTAAGCATAACATAGTTATTAAACCAGTCCATAGATGTATGTCACCCCTTGTCCATCTATAGTTGTCACTGTTATTATGTTACAGTAGATACTGATGTGCTGTTCTTTTATGTATAAACAAACAATAAATCAATATATTTTAATGCCTCCGCCATGTCAGGACGGCCAATAAATCGGACTCTTTCAATTTATCACACAACGTAGAAAATCGGGTCTTACTGTGCGCAATCAGAAATTATACTAGGGGAATTTACGTATTCTCGTCAATCTAAGCAGTGTCCACACTTCTATTAGCATTTTCTCAGCGTCACGCACATATATGACGTGTCTGTTGGTTTACATTCATCTGCTGCTTGCTTCTCTATCCATTTTAATCGACAGAATTCTTCAAAACTGTTTGAAAGCGTTTTTACAACGCTCCAAACTTCTCAGGTGAGTGTGACTATTGTCGGCAGCCTCGTTTTCTTCGGCAACCTTCCCATTAGAACTGCGTGTTAACCAGCTGTTCTTTATCGGCAACTTGAAATCAACCCCATTTTAGAGTACGTATGCTTCATTTGAAGAAAAATCTGCCAAAACAGGACTGCTCAGACGTACACATACAATCAGATTGAAGCTGAAAGACTAAAGAATCGTTTGGATGCATTCAGGGAAGTGTGTTGATGGGAAAACATAGTGAAATTAACGTTTAAATTTTGGTTGCCGAAAACAGTCAATGGGTGCCGAAGCCGACATTTACCCTAGATGGAAACCGCGAACCGAAAATAAATTTTAGACACCCACTTGAAAAATCCCACGTGGTCAGGTTCAAAAATCGCGTAGTCGTCTAAATTGACTAAATCTACAGTGTGCAGTGTTCTCAAATATTTCCGTGAGCGGCATAATATGGATCGGCAGGATCATCATAGCAAGCGTCGTAGTGTAACTAAGGATCGGAAGCTGCATTTGAAGGTGTTGAGAACGGTTAGGACAAACCCAGGGCTGTCGGATTATGATATCGCCAAGAAATTGTCTTACTGAGACATCTTCTGAATAATAGACTACATGGGACAGTAAGTGGTTCAGTAGAATGACTAGATTTCTGTCAATAATCCTATTGATAATCACGAGAACTTCAACGTCATCGCACTATTATCAGTAAATCATCCCAGATCCATTAATACCCACAATAAGTGAAAAAATATCAGCCTACTCTACCTCCATTTACATGGCACATCCTGTCCGGCAGACAAACTGGCGAATTTCGAGTTAAATTATGCGAATCTAACCCCCCTACGCTACAGGTTTCGATGCTCTTTGGGTGCTCCAATTCCCGCCTACCCACCACCCGCTCCGAAGGGAAAACACGCCAGACAACATAATTTCATCAAAAATTTCAGACCTGTCCAAATTTCCATCACCATCACCATCATCATCATCATCACTGCACTGCACTGCGCTGCGTTGGTTGCATTGCAAAACAAGTTATCTCTCTCTCGCCCCCCCGATGATGGGTTCAAGTTCAGTCACAGTCACTTTTCGTTCCTGCCTTCGCTTCGCTCTCTTCGATGGGAACCAGTTCGCGAGCCATCCGTCGTCCATCTCATGTCCATCTCGTTTTTTTTTTATTTGTTGCCCGTTCCTGTCTCGCGGCCACTGAACGAATCGTGCACACATATTAGATTTCATTGGGTGCACGCACGCATCCTCAAATTCCTAACTGCCGAACCGCTGGATGTTGGTGGTGATGGAATGATGGTCGGGAGATCGTCGAAACCTGTTGAAAACACCGTTCATCTGCGCGCGCACGCAAAGAGTCCCCCTCCCAAGTTTGGCAACACTCACTCACTTGCTCACATTGCGGGATGTCTAATTTATTCCATTTGCTCGCTTCCCGTGGCTGTTTTTGTTGATGTTTTGGGCCCCGCGTTCGTCATCCCGATGCAGGATGCAACAACGATGAAGGGGTGTCGATACGAAGGGTGGCTCCTAAAGGCTTCAATTATGGAATGAAAATGTCAAAACCTGAACCCAGTCGTTTCCCCCGTCGTTCCGCCGAAAAAATAAAATTCCAGGGCAGGTTGCGCTTGCGGTTTGCATGGCCCAACTACACCGGTCCCCGGCCAGTGAAAGCCCCCAAAACTGCCGCAGCGAGACCAATTTGAAATCGACATAATTTTCATCATTTTCGTATAAAAGCGACGATGCATGCATAAATTTGATAAGGTTGTTATTGCTTTTATATCTTAAGTTTATGTTCTCCTCGGCGGGTGACCGACCCCACGAGCGTAGTGCAGGCAGATTTGGGAAAACGCAACGACCCTAAGTGATGAAATTTTAATTTTCCTGTTGAGGAGTGAATTATGTTGATAACAGATGAGGATTTTACACGCAGAGCGGTGCAAGGGATAAAACAATCGAAATTAGTCATTGTGCATCGGGAACATAACATACTTTGAAGATTCATAACTTATGATCCAAGCCTTTTAGAAACAATATGTTGTAGTAAAATAATTAAAAAAAATCTCAGCGATCCTTAAATATCCAATCTACTTTTTACTAGTTTTACTATAATTGACATTTTCATTGACCTCTACGACTCTCAGAGCTTGAAGCATTCCGTTTCTTCGTATTATTAAGAGGAAATCAAGCTTTATTTCCTCAATCTGATTATTCACTAGCATTTATGCTTCGTTTGTCTTTTTTGATAAATTCATGATATTTCTTAGTTCCTTGAATCGTTACAAGCCGGGTTCCGCCGATAACCGTCGATAACGTCTGCAGTAGAAAACATACATTGTAGACGTTAACACAGACGAATTAATGATATATTTTAAACTGATGTTTTACTGCTTCAGATGTTACCCATTCGATAAATTGTGGAGTGTTATTAATTTCTGTAGTCTTCGTAACACTAGCATCTCTGGCTATCCTTTAGATGTTGCCTCCAGTCTCATCAGATGGACTTTTCCCATGTGAAGTTGGAAAAAATGCCACTGTCTCTTTCGAGACAGCACAAGTTTTCAAAATTAGACTTATTTTTGTATTGTTTTGCACAGCCAGCCAACCATAAATGGTGTTTTCATGTTTTGGACACTTTTCTTTCAATTTGGGAAACAATTTTCTTTGAAAAGTAATAACAGAAATTTTTATTTTTTATCAGTCATGTTTAAAATTTTGGTAGATGATTCGTCATTGTAATTAACAATGAATAAGTACTTGAGGTTGCACAAAATAATGGCTATGAATGGCATCTTGAATTACACACGAATCTTCCATCAGAGCTTGGAAGCTTTGCCAGAAATCACTAGCTTCATCTTCTTTATTATAAATTTCACATCGAGGGGACGTTGTCCAAAAACAGTTTGATTTGTTTGGACAAACTGTACTGAAACAAAATCTATCATGTTTTGTGAGTTACATTGATCGCAACAAACAGTCACATGTTACTTTCTTTGTAAATAAGGAATCTGAATCACCAAAACAAGTGTTTTTTTAAAGACATAAATTCCATGAAGAGCTTTTTGAGTGTTTTGGTTTTTTTTGACAGATACCTACGTGTATTTTGTTTACTACTTGCAGACTTCATCAGTGCCAAGTACTAAATACCACTAAAGAATCCATCTTTTATCTACGACTTACGTACTAATCAATAGGTACTATCTGGGAGGGAGAAGCAGATAGCACATACGGAATTCATTGCATACTCGTTCTACTGTCATGAAAATTTATGCCATTGAAATCAAATCAAAACAGGTGTAGCAAAAGCGCGTGTTTTGCTTTGAGCGTGTAGTGATTGTTTGAGATTATTCAGCGTGCAGTGAGAAACTGTACTTTTCTGTTTGATATTTTATTGCGCTACTAGATGTTTTTTTCAATACTGATTTGTGTGTATTTTGAATGAATTAAAAAGAAACGGTGTCCCATTGAATAAAATAGGTGGAAACATCAGTTTGTCATAAATTGTTTTACGCAAGATTTCAATACCGCCTTGTGTATTCGTGTTCAACTGTAAGAAAAGCATCATAAAATTGCTTGGCTCCCAATGACAGTTCGTGACAGTTGCCGTCTGGCTGCATTTGACGTTCCATTTTTCTCTCTTCGCGACTCTCCCTCAGGGTACTATAAATCAGCAGGTAGGGTAGAGCGCTACTGCGTCGTAATCGCCCATTTCCATTCTATCGAGCAGAAATCATCAATAATATCCATGAATGGTGAAAGTACACAAATCAATAATACGTTTGTTTCGATGCGTTAGCTCACAAGCTACAACACAAAGCCTATGACGGATTTCACGCCAACTCGTCTTCGGAGTTGGCAGCACCCTCTCAGAACCTTATGAAACTTTGTGGGTGTGGAGACTTAGCAATTTTAA